AAAAAAAGCGGGGGGGGGGGGGGGGGGGGGGGGGGATTCTCCAAGTACAAAACATATAACCCTTCGGTAATCACCTCTGATACTCTCAAATACACGATCTATCGGAGGGTATCTTTCATCCTCTGAGCCCCTCGGCTGATACTGCCGAAAGCCAAGCTTGAACAAATCACCCGGAAGGGTAACATCTATGATCTTCACATGCTTCTCGGACCCCTCCGGCTTCTTGGAGAGTATCTTGCCGTTCTTCTCGAGGGCTGCATTCCCCACCTTTGGATGCCGCCGAAAGCTATTACGAAGTGGGGCCGGGAATGGGTTCTCCTCCGGCCGAAGGTAGCAAAACTTGTCCTTCCATCCCTTGTGGGATGAAGGCACATCATCAAAAAGCCTAAACTCGGGGACTTGCTGTAAATTAGCGAAGCCCCAGCATTCGAATGCCCCCCCCCCGGCATAGGTTGAAGGACAAGAAAAACTGGTCTAAGGTTGGTGACACCCCCCGGCTCTGGCACAGGAAAAGAAAGCCGACTATGTAGGAGTGGCTGTTGGGCGTCAATTAGCAGGGGGCCAGCCCCACGAACCTCAGGTACTCCAACAGGAAGGGATGTAATGGAAATCGGAGCCCCATCTCCACTGACAAAATGTTGGCAGCAAAGCAGCCCTCGGGTGCGTGTAGCAACAAGTCGTCTGACCCCGGTTCCACTACACGCGCTGAAGGACCAACAAGAAGCTGGGTAGCCTGGTACTCTGCAGGGGAGGCCCTCGTCTTCAGCTCCAGGGCAGCAGTGTCCAAATAAGAATGGCCTTCGGGTATGCCCACCGGCTGCCCAGCATCAACAGCACCCTGTTTCTTGTTCTTAGGGACGGCCTTCACTTTCTTTTTCTTCCCAGGGGCTACCCGGAGAGGCATTGGGTTTAGAGGCCTGGAACTACTCGCCTCGCCGGCGTCACGTAGGGGGAGGATGGCGACGGTAACTTTCATCCTTTCTCTCTCCTCCTCCTCCTCGGCGGTTTGCATCGCGACGGCCATCTCCTCATCCTCCTCTACCTGCTCAAAATCTTCAGCCTCGGCTTCGGCAACGAGGTCTTTTTGCACTTCCATGGCTACGGCGGCATCACCGCTTACCGAAGGCTGTCCACTGGAAGATTCCACGCCTGGGATGCTTTCCACCTCTACCGAGTCCTCCCTCGAGATGTCTTGGGAATCACTAGCTGACGACATGATTTCACATAATTGTCCGAGGGGTACAGGTGACGAGAGTCCTAAGGTTATAACACTTAACCTAAGGTCACAAAGCTAAACTTACTAATATAGCAAGGAACGAGTGAAGAACTGACCTCAGAGAGAATGATTTGATCGAAGGCAGGTGTTTATCTCTCTAGAAAAATCGCCAGAGTTTCGCTACAACAAAGGAATGCGCAAAAGAAAATGAGGTCAGGCCTGGGGTATTTATAGACTCCCAACTATGGGCTTGGGCCAAAAACTGGGCCTCCAGTCACCAAAGTCATCATTACAAACCGTCGGTTCACCCAACCGGTGACACCCGCCCGCACACAGCCAACGGTTACACGCCACGTGGACACCACCTCCACGCCTTCTCCAACGGTCATATTACAACGGCTATATTTTGAAAACACAAAGGTGCTCTCGGCCGGCACCCCTCAGACAACACTGTGCTTGCCTTCGGACTTTCTCCTTCAGGCTCCTTCATCAAAGGAGCCCCCGGTAACAACGGGCAAACCCCTCAGGGCCCCTCAGCCCTCAGCATGTTGAAAGCCAGGGAACCCCTCATCTGTGGTTAGCCTCCGGTGCACAGGGACAATCACTGACATTCATCAAAAGAGATCACGCCTTCAGCCTCATTGGCTGGGGGACCACCCTCGGCAGTCCCCGAGATGCATACTCATGCTTGCCAACTACGGACGCCTTCGGAGGAATGCTCCCATCAGACACTACACTCAACACCTCCGGGACATCAACAATCAGCCTCCGGCATCACCAGGATATCAACATAGAGCCTTCGGTAAGATCAACGATCAAATCCTCAGATCACGGATAACTCTCGGCGGCAACATTGCTATTCATCTCAAATCGAAGGCTCACCTTTTTTATTCATCATTGGGGGAATTCGATGCACTCTTTTCCCCTCATTTAGGATTTTTTCCCAAAGGCTTTTTCCTAATGAGGTTTTTAACGAGGCATCACCCCAAAATGAAGCGAAAAGCACAAGCCTTCGGTCTCGCGATGAAAGCAGACACCCCTTTACTCCTCTTCACCACATTACATGTGCCTTAAGGAGTGGAGGACTGGAGGACCCCTTCGGGAAATTCACAAAATTACAAATGTAAAAATTTTCCTTCGGCCCTAAGATGTGGGGGACTTAAAGGACTGCCCTCGGCAAAGCATGCAAACAACAACTACTCACAACTCCGCGAACTACAAAGCAAAACACCAGCATCAGAGGACAAACACATCTACTCCTTTTCCCTCAAGTACCTTTCGGAAAAAGGAGTGAGGGACTCCTGATGGAGTATATGGCCCAGGGACCCCCGGCCCATAGATTCCCACTATTATAACAAAGGCCCAACAAGCCCAGGAAGCACAGCAGGCCCAAATCACAGCGCCCCAAGAGCCAAGCAGCCCACGACGTACACTTGGGTGCCTTCGGCCCCCATGGCCGAAGGCTCATAAACTTACAGTACAGCTGCTTTTAAGCACTCGAAGTTACCGGGGGGAAACAGCGAAAACAGTAGCCCTCGGCACTTAGAGCCCTCGGCACCTAGAGGCCCCCGGGATGAAGAACCTTCGGACTATCATCTACAGCCGAAGGCGTCCTCCTCGACAGAATCTCCCATCCACATGCGCTGGATCAACGTACCAAGTACAAACGTCACATCCAACCACCGCATTTAATGCGGCCACATGCGAGTGTCGGTGCTGCCCCAGTTGAGGTGACCCCTCGACCACCAGATTGTTGACACGTGTCCCTATCTAGCATTTATTGCTGCTATAAATAACACCCTTTTCCCCAATTGTAAACCACGCTGAATACAACGCTCAACGCAATTCGGATATACATTTGAACTCTTTATCTCCCTTCTTATTTGCTCTGACTTCTCTCTAAGTTACTCCTCGCAGTAACCCCTCGGATAAGCTACCCCCTGGGTACACTTATCCATCACCAAGGTTGATGACGATTCTAACACTATAGTTGAGCCCTAGTTAACCATCACTTTGTGAGCTCAGAGATCAATAAAGACACTCTCGCTTCACATTACGAGCCGAAGTTTTCCACCTCTTGGCTAGCACATTACACTCGAGCTTGACATCTACAATCGAGCTCAGGACCTCATGTGGACTTGGACATTTCTGTACTAAGATATCACGACATTCAGATTACGTCACTACATGACAGCTGTCCCAAGGCTGACATCACCCAGTGCTATTACAACTGCATGTTGTCAAGTTACATGTGTGGCTTATCCAGCCATTCCAGTACGCAAAGGACAAAAGCCGGTACAACAATACCAATTAATTAGATATTATCTCTCCAATTAGCTTCACACTCGCCAATAGACCAGTGGGTCATTTATCTTTACTTATTCTCCAAGTATTTCCTTGTACACTATAAATATCACCTTCTAACTTATGGAAAAGAGATCTTGTCCTGAATTCTCAAGCTTACTGTTACTCTGTCAAATTTCTTACTCGATCTATACTTTGCATATTTTTCGGTCCTCCCTCGATTTTGCCTACCATTAGGTCAGTAAAGCCATCAACCCCATTGTGCTTTATCATTTCCATTCTTCTTTTTGTTCTTCTTTAAGTGGGAGACTCCAACGAAGGCACGAAGAGTGTGGTTGAGTTCTTCACCTTCCTACTGTGACATCCATAGTGTCGGTCTTTGTCAGCTATGAGTATTAGCTCGGGAAGGCTACCAACGAGGCAACGACGACGAGGATGAGTTCAAAATTCGGGCATACGTTTTGTACAACTCTTGCATTATAGTGATTTTTGGCGATCATAGTTGAGTGAGAATCATTTGGTGAGATTAACTACAAGAATAATCTGAGATAAAAATATGAATTCAGATTATTTTAAATATATTTGTAAAACTAGATTTAATTAATTTGTGCAAGACCACAAAAGATTTGATTATTTTGAGATAATTGATGGAGTGTGAGACTATTTTATAAAAATCCAAGCGCCAATATTTTAAGAAGTGTGAATGTGAATGCTGTAATTTTTTTGTTTTATTATTTACCAATTTGCGCTCAATATTGAAAGATATTGTTTCGTACGTATTTGACAGCTTAAAAATACTACTCCCGCTAGAAGGTTCCCGTTGACTGTTTACGATGTTTGACTGACGATAAAGCAATTTAATCCATGTTCACACTCTGATTATTTTTAGTAAATAAAGTTTACATATTCAGAAACTACATTAAAGCCGCTACAAAGCCTGATAAAAAAATGTAAATTTGATAAAAATTTGATTTATGAAGTAAAAGATTAAAAATGATTTAAGTTGACTATGTGAATAATGGACGAGAACCTTCTGATGGGACGGAGGTAGTAATAAATTAAAAAGTGATGTTGTAAAGTATACACATAGCGTGAAGTAAAAGGCCCTTAAAAATAAATTTAAGTATCTTGAAGTATTATATTTGAATCACACAAGTGTATTCAAATAAAACAATGGAACATGTATTATATTATATTATATTATATTATATACATGGAATAAATCAAATCCAATCCGATGAGACTTTATTATTATCAATACATCTACCGGAGACAAATTTCAGTGTAACCTGAAAAACATTTGCGTTTCTCAAGGATAAGTTTTGGAGGGTCTGAAAAGAATGAAAAAGGAAAAGTGTAAAAGAAGAAGATTGAATAAAGAAAAGTAGAAAACGGTCATTAATTATGGTTTTGCTTTGCGCCAACTCTGCAATTTAACTTATTTCTTTATTATTGTACTGTCTGCGAAGACTTGAGAATTCTGGCTTGTATTATTACTGGGCTTGCTTGGGGAGTAACCTGCTAATACTGATCGAGTTTACTCTACATAAATAATACTGTAATACACTTCATTTCTTTCTCCCAGTGGCCGGCAATGGGGGAAGCACAACTTCAGTCCCCTGCAAATTCCTTACATGGGAAATCATCTTCTAACTCTTTCGAATTTTGTGTGCTCCGAAAATCCGATCTTTTGTCAGCAGATCAGCTCTTCTCCCATGGCGTCCTGCTCCCCCTCTACTGCCCTGCTTCCGAACACACACAAACCCGAGCACAGCAGCTGCAGTTGGAACCCGAACCCGACCACTCAAAGCAGCAGCCGGCGTTGGAATTCGAATCGGCTGCGGTCGTTGGTTCCTCCACCACTGCTTCCAAGCGGTGGAGGAACATTTTCAAGAGAGTGGGACAAAATACGGGTCAGAAAGTGGTGAGCAGGGACAAGAAAGGCGGCGGCTTCTTTGGAGCCCATACATCGGAAAGGGTGCTGAACATCAACATTTGGCCTTTTAGAAGAAGTAATTCCGCCGGCAATGGCGCCTGCGCTCCGGCGCCCGGGACGGCTTCCCCAAAAGTGAGTAGCGCGCCGTGCTCTCCCACCGACTTCAAGTTGAAAAAAGTGCCGACCCCAAAGAAGGCCTGGCCGCCCCGCCGGAGCACAGACTGTAGGACGAAATCGGGTGCGGGTTGTAACAAGGATGTAGGATATAAGAGGTGGGGGAAAGTCTCGCCCGCCGCCGGAGATGGTTGCGGTGGCGACTGGTATAATAAAGCCAGAGTGTTGACCATGAAGGCTTCAGACTCCCCGGGTAGTGGAGGTGGAGTCTCCGGTGAAGGGAAACGTTCTAATCTCGGGACCTTATTTTCCAAACAAATTATATGAGGATTGATTCTCTAATGTGTTCTTTTTTACGTTTAGTAATATTGAAATTGATTGAATCTGAATTCAGAAAAAAATTACTCCTTAAGTTCTCTACTCTTCTCTTTAGACTTTGGCACAAGTTTTAAGAGAAAAAAATGAAATTGGCGTAGTAAATTATGCACGAAGTTGTTTTTAAATAAAAAAGTACGAAAAAGAATGTTTTTGAAGGAAATTCTATGTAGTGTGATGTCGTGTATATAGAATATGTATTAGGATCATTCTATGTAAATTATGTATTATGGGCTCATTGGCTCGTCTCTATAAATCCTAATATCTCCCTTATTTATAGAGCATTTGGTAATGAAATTCCACGAACCATTCTCCCTACAACAAATGCGGGTATATAGATATATTTATTTAAAAAACTTTCTAAAAACAGAAAGAAAGACAAGTATTTAAGAACAACCCAATATGGAGTATTTTATTATTAAAATCGAGAAAGAGATATTACATACGGAGTTCATAACAAAATAGTCATAGTTGTCCAATAACTTTAGTCAGAAGCGTAACTTTAACTTTAGTCAGTTCTGTTGTGAATTTGTGATTTACGTTTTCATTGATTCATATGATTGTATTGTGGAAGCTCATGTATTTGATTGTATAATGTTCTCATGTATTGATGCTTGATACTAGGGTTGTAAATGAATCGAATCGAACCGAATACTTGATAATATTATTCGTATTCGTATAATTATCGAATATTCGTATTCGTATTCGTTTAAAATTCGAATCTTATTTTGTATTCGTATTCGATTCGTTTGATATATTCGAATCTTTTTCGAATCGAATTCGAATATTCGAATTCAAAAAACATTAAAGTTAATTTGTGAAAATAATTAAAATTATGATGTTAGTTTGCCCCTTTTAACTAATTTTCATATTACATATTTTATAAGAAACAAAATTCATTTATAGAAGTCACTTCAAATTTAATATCAATATAGATGAATATGCAAAATATTTTTACATGAATATTTTGTTATTAATATTTTTACATTGAACTATATGTATTCTTAAGAAGTAGTATATATTGTATGAATATATAAATACATAAATATATATATATATATATATATATATATATATATATATATATATATATATATATATATATATATAATCCGAATATATTCGAATATTATTCGAATCGAATATCATAGTATTTGTATTCGTAAAGTATTCGAATCAAAAAATAGATTTGTATTCGTATTCTACTTACTCGAATTCGAATAGGCATTTTCGAATTCGAATCACGAATCGAATCAAAATTATTCGATTCGTTTGCAACCCTACTTGATACTATGTTAGTGTGACTAAGTTGAATTCTGATTTGCGAGTACTTAACTTTGCATGTTTGAAATGTGCAAATATTGTATGCCTTATGTTTGAATATGCATGTGAGAATGATGATGGAGGAGCTAGAGGTGCAAACGAACTGATCCGAGCCCGAACTCACATATGCTCAAACTCGAACTCGAAATTAATCTTAGAAGTTTAAAATAGATATAGAGCTGTAGACTTACGAACTACGAAAATGTACTACTGAGGGGATTCTAACTCGGGTTGCCAGCATCACCCTCAAGCCTAACTAATTTCCAACGGATCTACATGCACGATGATGTTAGTGATGATCTCAAAATGTTCTTAACCTTGATTTGTTTGAGCTAATGAAAAAAATAGGTATTTTTATAGATTAAATTATTACATATGGTTATAATAATAAATAATATTACTTTTAGTTATTAGTACTATAATATCATAAGTATAAGAAATAGAGTAATCCTAATTCAAACCCGACTAACACTGTTTTACATTGTTGGTTCTTTGCACATGATGAGTTTCAAAATCTAAAAATTGATGTTGCAATTTATATATGTTGGACCATTTGGAAGCGGAGAAATCTCTATCTTTATGATGATAAGATTTTCCAATTTATATAAAGAGCTTTGGGATGCTAGTGTGGCCTTCCCGATTACTACTAGTATTTCTAGCCCTCCTCTAAATGACATTAAGTTGATTGACCTGAAACACTAAGCTAAGAAGAGTAAACTCCCTATTGAATTGTCAGCTAAATGATTAGTACAACATACTTATTTTATGTGAATTAATAATTTTTTATGTACACTATTTTTTTTTTTATTTTACTTTTTCAGCTAGATGATTTTTTATGCAAACTCGATTACATGTTTGAAGTACACTTTCATTTTCAAATAGTTTTTAAAAATCATTCTAAAAAAGTATTTTTTTCAAAAAAAAATTATAGTCATGATATTAAAAACAAAACATATTCACTATTTACGTAAAAAAATTGAGCAATTATACACTTTTTTCATCGTCTACATTGAAATCAATGTACTGATCTAAGGTGAGTTGCATTTCTTTACACTCGAGTTACATAATTTTTCTAAAACAAAAAAAAAAATATTCCGGAGTGTTTTAATTGTGAGAGCACCATGCTCACCATAGACAGCTCCCACAGGTAACAACAGTATTGGTGCACTCAAAGGATATACATTTGACATAGTGAATCACTTGGCAAGTAATTCTTACGATCGAGTTTTCAACACCTTCATTTATGTGAAGTATCAGCAGATATCGATGTGGTACCAAATTATTATTTAAACACCCGTGCTATTTTTTGACAGGATACTTGAGCGAGACAAAGCTAGTACTACCTCTGTAACACAAAGATCTTCCCATTTTGATTTTTCACGGTCTTCTAAGTTGAACTTTAACTATAAATATCTACATATCTATATTTATAAAATTAATAATAAATTAACATTCAAATAATATGTTTTACAATGAGGTATATGAAATAAATTTTTAATCATTACTTAATGTGAGTTTTGAATAACTAATGATCAAAGTTTATAAAGTTTGACCCAAAAGAGTCAAATTGGGAAGATTCTAGGGTTACGGAGGTAGTATGTAATAACGTCTCAAACAATATAAACATGACTCTAAAAAATCTAAAAATGAAATGGTCAAAGACTTCCATTATGAATTAGACTTGGACTCGGCCAGGGCCGGGCCAGGCCTAGTCCCGGTCGGGCCGGCGATTTGTGAATGGTGGGCCCGGGACCGGCCCGCGGTAAATGCGGTTCCGGTTCGGGCCGGGCCACCCACCTGGGTCACGAGTCGGGCCACCCGCCGGGCTGGGCCGGTTAAATACATTTTTTTTATAATTTATACTTTACAGTTTTATAAAAAATGTGTATAAAAATATTATAAAATGTGGAGATTGGAGAAGATGTGTATAAAAATGTTAGAAAATATGAGTATTTATAGAAATTTTTTAAACATATAAAAAAACAATCGGAATAAGAGTTTACAAGTTACAAATTTACAATTGAAGGTAAAATTAAAACATGAAATAGTGAAATACTAATCAATCGGAATCTCCGTAATAGGTAGAGTCACCCTCGGTTGTAGATTCATTCATAAAGTGTTGGGATGGGGTGATGTCAATTCCTTGAGCTCTACGGGCCGCCTTCAACCAATCGTGGTAACATATAAACATCTCAAGAGATTCTGCGCTCAACCTCGTTCTACATTGCGTTAGGACATTGCCGGCCGAACTAAATTCTTGTTCGACGGCAACTGTTGAAACCGGCATTGATAGCACTTGCTTAGTCATCTTTGCTAAAACAGGGAACATTCTTTCTTTTCCCTTCCACCAGTTTAGAACGTCAAATTCATCATCTTCTTCAAAATCAACATCATATGTTAAATGTGTTTAATGCATCAAACCCCCTTGTGATATAGAAATTCAGCGCATTAGTCCCCTGTAATTTGAAAAATGCATCAAACCCCCTTGTGTTTTAATTAATCATGCACATAACCCCTTTTATGACTAAATTTAATGATTTTGAGATCACTTTTCCAAATATTCCGATTGAATATGCAAGTAAATATGTCAAAATCTCTGAACCATACGAAAGTGTTAATCATTTTTCTTATATTTGATAATTGAATTTGTTCATAGAAGGGATTTTACGCATAATTAATTAAAACACAAGGGAGTTTGACGCATTTTTTGAATTACAGAGGGTTAATGCACCGAATTTCCATATCACAGGGGGATTTGATGCATTAAACCCTATGTTAAATACAAAGAAATCACATTAATTGTGCTTTGTTGAGTAGCAGCCTAGCGGGTGTTGTTTTAGTTTTTTAATAAGATTGGCAAATGTAGATTTCAAAATTGATTTTCCTTTAGATGAAGAGGTTTGTGTCGGGGGAGGGGGCGTGTTGCCATATTGTGCATGAAACTCATTAAATAATGCATAAAATATATCACTAACCTCGTTGTATTCTTTTTTCGGATCAATTGGGTTGTCGTCATACATTGGCATTGGACCAAAAAAAGCAGCACAATAATAATTCAAACATTCTTCTAGAGAACCAAGTCTAAAACGAGGATCGAGAACAAATGCAATACCATAAATATGCGGAATATGTGAATAATATTTTAAAAACTTTTCCTTCATAAAACTAGCAAAATAACTCACATAATCGGCATTCTCAAAATTTGAAAAAGCACCGGCGAAATTAACAGCTTCACGAATAAAATTGTTTGAGGTAGGTTTATAAACATGACTAAAAGTTTCAGTTGCATTATTAAAATATACCAAAGCATTACAAATTTTTTCGCAGGTGTCAATCTCAGCCGAGTTTATAATATAGTTATCATATTGTTTCATAAAAGCAGGAAAATGTTGTTTATATCTAAGAAGAACTACAATTAACTTATAAATACTATTCCAACGAATAGACAAATTTTTAGGAAAAGCCACATATTTTTCACCTCTTTCAATCAAATAATCATGCAATTTTTTTCTAAGTTGACCATTACCCCAAATACGTCTAATCCCACCCTCCTCCGCGTCACCGTCGTGGCTCTCCGGAATTACTTCCTCCACATCGTCGTCCTCGAGCTCTTCTTCGTCAATGGTCCTCGACTGGTCTTGGAAAAACCGACTATTATGTCGGTGCAATTCTTGTTCAAGTTGTTCGTCGGTCATGGCATCCCCATCCCTCCTTGCATAACTTGTATCAAAATCATCTCGACTTTGAGATGAAGAGCTAATATGTGATTTACCTTTGCGGGATTTCTTCCTCGCAAGCTCGTTCGTTCGGTTGCGCTCGAGATTACCCATATCAACCGAATATCTACCACGTTCCATCTTAAAAATGTAACAAAAAACAATTTCAACTAATGAAATAAAATTCTAACAATTCTAACTTTAATGAAATAAAATTCTAACAATTCTAACTAAGTAGATATAAATTGTAATATGTATGTATTTAGTAGATATAAGTAGATAATAAGTAGAGATTAAGTAGATAACAAGTATAAGTAATATAATATATGTATTTATAAATAGATAATTAATATATAACTATATAAGTAGATAAAAAATATAAGTAATATATATTATAATATATGTATTTCTAAGTAGATAAATAATATAAGTAGATATATAATATATTGGAGAATAAGAGAATTTGAGAAGATGAAGATAATTAGAGAGTAGAGAGTAGGATTTTGGAGAAGAGATATAGAAAAATGTTTAAGATTAGGAGTATTTATAGTTTTTTTTTACCCCACCCCCACCCCCACCCCCCAAACCACCCGGACCCCCCCCCCCCTCCAGCCCACTGCCCACCCAACGGCTATATAGGTAGTCCCCAGCCCACCCCCCAACAGCTACTTGTGGCCCAAACCCAATTTTTTTTAAAAAAAAAAAAATTGGCATTTGACCGTTGGACCCGACCCGGACCCGGGCCCGACCCGGCCGGATAGTATAACAGGTAAGGTTAAAACGAATTGGTAACAAAATGATACTAAAACAATTCCAAATAAACAGCTCATTAAATTCCAAAGAAAGATTTCTTTATAGTGAGCAGATGTTGTCAGTTTATTCTTCAACATGCACGCCGTCAGATCCTTGCTTTATAAAATGCTCCATATTATAATAAAGGGAATTTTGATAATCAAATGTTTTTAAGTCCTGGTTGTGTTTATAGTACGGAGTACTATTTAAGGAGATGTGTTATTTTTTACTCTTATTCAAAGGCATCTCCCAATCTTGTTTTAGGTGCATCCCTACACATACAACATGCTATGTGCTTTATGTACGATTGGCCCGTAGTTAGTACTCCATCCCTGTTTGAATTTGTGTAAACATAATGACGATTTTGAGTTTCTAATGGTAAAAATGCAGTAGATACATGTAGCAACAATGAAATGGCGCATCATTTCCGTTCCTGAGATGTTCAGGACTTCAAGTAGATGCACAGAAAATATTTTCATGCCATTAAATTTATTTACCTCGAGTTAAAAATCCTGACATTATTATTCACAACTTTCTTCTCATTTTATATCAGCCACCTGCAATTCTCTCATGTGATCATGTCAGTTCAGTTTAAACCTGCTCTCGCCATGTGCCTCTGCTGATGTTACTTGCAAAATTGCAGAAGTTACTCTACTATGGCATGTCCATGGTGAGGTCGTTATGATCTGGATTCTTGAACGAAAATCCCGAATCATCACTGGACCGTCTTACTACTATGCTTGCTCGTTGGACTAACCGGACCAACGCTTGCACCACTTCGGACATGGGTGGCCGAAACTCTGGTTCAGGCTGCACATTTTAAATCACCTCTTTAGAATTAAAATTTAAAACAAGAGAATAGCTCGTGTGATGCAGTGTCGAGTGCCTACCCCAATCCGTGAAGCTGTAATTAATTCTCAGCAAAAGACAAAAGCAAATACTACTACTACTACCACTTTGTGGCTTAAAACAATCACACGTAAAAACGGAGCACTTTGAGCAATGATAGGGGTTTAACCTAAAAGTGTCAGCTCTGAATCTACGAGAAGAAACCACGAAAAGGTAGTATAGGTCTCAACTCTCAAGGGAGAGAGTTTTATGAGCCCATCTCAGACAATTATTATTGTTGTTGTTATTATAATACCAGTATTTCCATTTTCAATTTTAGGCTTAATAATACCTAGGCCTCTACAATATAACTTTGTTCATTATAGTGGCTCTAATTTAAATGAGTTCAACTCAGTCTTTGAACTATAATAAGTGATATGAGCGGCATATAATAAAAGTAAACTGAGATAATTAACAGTGTATAGTCCCTGTTGTATTAAAATATACAAGCACAAAGACTAAACTGGACACAATGGGCATAGGTGACCTAAAAAGAACAAAATCAACCAAGTGATATAGTAGGACTTTACATGTATTTTAACCTCAATCTTAGTTAGCTTCTTATAAACCTATAGCTTAATGTTTCCATTATGATCAGGGGTCTTGAAGTAGCTACATGAGGGTCCTCATTAACAAACTACCACGAAATCGAGCACCGACTAATATGACCTTCAGCCTAAATGAAGCTCTCTCTCTCTCATAAGCAGCCCATCTGAAACTATATGGGCAGCTCTACCTCTCATTCTATCATCCTAGACCTGGGATGATATCCCAGTCTCGCTCATAACATATTACTTTTTACCTGAACACAAAGGGCAATAATGTCAGCAAAACGGGACAAGGACTTCGCGGGATACATGCCATTCAATGTGTGATCAACCATTTTTGACAAGGCGTCTATATCGTGAAGTTGAGGTGTTGCCCATCTCACAAGTGACTGTTCTGATCTCTCCCTCGAGCTACAACCAACACAGAACGTTATAAACATTGTGTAGAAAAATGTTACATTATTAGAAAAATGTTACATTATTTTTCCTGATTAGATTGATGTACATAGTAAGTCGGATAGACTTAGTTAGTTGTACATAAGCTCATAGTTATCTAGATCCTAATTTTTAGGATTTGTACTAGCTTGTAGTTATCTGTACAAACTGTATTTATACTCTGGCCGTATGGCTCATTCAATCAAGGAAGTTTAATTCCTAAAACTTACATGGTATCAGAGCAGGCTGTTTAAACACCACAATGGTGGAAACCGAGCAATCTGACTCTTCTCCCCACTCACAAACCCATAACCCTAACTCCCCAAATAGCTCAATGACAAACTACCGGACCTCAGTTCATTCATCTATGCTCATTACTGGCCATAGATTGAATGGCACAAATTATCTCGAATGGTCACAGTCTGTCAAGCTGGCTATTGATGGAAGGGGCAAGCTAGGGTACATAACTGGTGAAATAAAGGAGAAAAAAACCGGTGATGATGGCTACAGTGTCTGGAGGTCAGAAAATTCCTTGGTGACAGCATGGCTTCTAAGTTCAATGGATACATCAATTGCCAAACCTCACATGTTCATGAAAACTGCAAAGGAGGTATGGAATTCCATTAAGGAAACTTACTCAGATCTTGAGAACTCTTCTCAGATTTTTGAATTAAAAACCAAGTTGTGGCAGTCCAAACAAGGCAATAGAGATATCGTCTCTTACTATAATGAGATGGTATCCCAATGGCAAGAGTTGGATCAGTGCCATGATGATGAGAAGTGGAAGAGTACCAAGGATCTAGCAAGACACCAAAAAAGGGAGGAAAATGATAGGGTCTACATGTTCATAGCAGGAATTAATAGAGATCTAGATGAAGTTAAGGGGAGGATACTTGGAAAAAAACCTCTACCCTCTATCAGGGAGGTATTTTCTGAAATCAGGATGGAGGATAGCAGGAAGAAGGTTATGTACAGCATTCCAGTACATAATCTGGGGACTCTTCAGCAATGGTGGCTAGGAGTGATGACAAGAAAAAACCCTGGTGTGATCATTGCAAGAAATTATGGCACACTAGGGAGACTTGTTGGAAAATTCATGGCAACCCACCAGGGGCAGGAAAGAAAAAAACTGAGAAGGCCCTACAAACAACTGTGACTGAGACTCAACGAGAACCACAAGTCAAGTTCAATCAGCTTTCATTCACTCAGGAGCAGATAGGGCAACTTCTTAACTTCCTTAATTCCCAGAAAACCCAAACCAGAATCTTCCTGTTGTTCTTATGCCCAAAATGGTACCTATTCATCATTTTTTGTTCTGGGAAATCTAAAAATTCCTGGGTTATTGACTCAGGGGCTACTGATCACATGACTTCTATTTCAAATCTTTTTTCTTCATATAAACCTAGTGCAGGGGATAAAAAGGTTAAGGTTGCAGATGGTTCTCTATCAGCCATTGCAGGGATGAGAAATATTAGTATTTCCTCATCACTGAATCTTTCCAAAGTCCTTCATGTCCCTAATCTATCCTGCAATCTTACTTCAGTTAGTCAAATAACTAAAGATCTACAATGTTGTGTCATTTTTTATCCTTCTTATTGCATTTTTCAGGACCTGGCATCGGGGAAGATGATTGGAAGTGCTAAGGAGTAGGATGGACTCTATATCTTTGATGGAGAAACTCAATCTAATAAAAGAGGTCCAAGAAATGCTTGTTTGCAAACTGTTTCTTTTTCAAATAATAAAGATTTGTATTTACTTCATTATAGACTAGGACAACCTAGTTTCTATTATTTAAAAAAGATGTTTCCTCAATTATTTCTGAATAAAGATGCTTCTTTGTTTAATTGTGATATGTGTGCACTTGCAAAACATCACAGAAACACTTATTTACCCCACAGTTATAAACCTACTAGTCCTTTTACCTTGGTACATAGTGACATTTGGGGTCCATCTAGAATACCAACTTTAAAGGGAAAGAGATGGTTTGTAACTATTATTGATGATCATACTCGCGTCACATGGGTATTTTTAATCAAAGAAAAATCTGAAGTTGAGAAAATATTTAGAACATTTTATGCTATGGTCCAAACTCAATTCAATACCAAAATTAAAATGGTAAGAAGTGATAATGGCCGTGAATATTTTTCTCAAACTTTAAACAACTTTTTTACTGAAAAAGGCATTATTCATCAAAGCTCTTGTATCAATACACCAGCTCAAAATGGAATTGCAGAAAGGAAAAATAGACATTTGCTTGAAGTCACTCGTGCAATCATGTTTTCAACAAACATACCAAAATATGTGTGGGGAGAAGCAGTGTTACATGCTACTTATTTAATTAATCGCATGCCATCCAAAACTTTAGGATTTAAAAGTCCTATTAGTTCATTACAACACTTCTTTCTTACAAATAGATTGGTAAACACCCTTCCTTTAAAAAATTTTGGTTGCACAGTGTTTATCAAAAATCCAGATAGATCTGCAAGTAAGTTTGATCCTAGAGGAAAAAATGCGTTTTTCTAGGTGTTTCTGCCACTCAAAAAGGGTATAAATGTTTTGATCCTACAACCAAAACAATGGTTGTTACTATGGATACTTTTTTTGTGGAAGAACAACCTTTTTTTGATTCTCATCTTCAAGGGGAGAAATTAAGTGAAGATGTTCCAATAATGCCACATATTCATGAAAATCTTAATTTTCTTGATATTAATCTGGATGATAATTTCTTTAGAAATATCAGTACACCTGAAAATGATCAAGAAATAAAAAATAATGAAGTAAATCCAACTGAACCAATTGAAAAGGATCAACAGACAAGTCAGTTCTTTGGAAAAATTTATGAGAGAAGGGTTAGAAATCAAAGAATAGAGGAAGTCCAAGAACCTACAACTGTCCATGATTCTGCCTCAATGTCAGGAAGTGAAAAAGGTAATACTTCTAGCAATTTTGACCTTCCTATTGCTCTCAGGAAAGAGAGAAGAACATGTGTTAAATACCCCATCTCAAACTATGTTTCTTATTCTAAATTGACCTCAGACTTTGCAGCCTTTACTTCCAATATCTCTTCTATTTCTATTCCTCCAACCACACAGGATGCTCTATCTAAACCTGAGTGGAAGAAAGCTGTTTTGGAGGAGATGGAGGCTCTTGAAAAGAATCAGACATGGAAGCTTGTAGAGTTACCTAAAAATAAACCGACAGTTGGTTGCAGGTGGATTTTCACCCCCAAGTTTAAGGCAGATGGAAGTTTGGAGAGGTATAAGGCAAGACTAGTTGCCAAGGGTACACACAGACCTATGGAATTGATTACAAAGAAACCTTTTCACCAGTTGCAAAGTTGAACACTGTAAGAATTCTTTTATCTCTTGCTGCCAATTTAGACGGGCCATTACAACAACCGGATGTAAAGAATGCTTGTTTAAATTGGAAACTTGAAGAAGAAGTGTACATGGAACCTCCTCCTGGGTTTGAAAATAAGTTTGGGTTAAAAGTTTGCAGATTAGAGAAGGCTTTATATGGACTTAAACAGTCTCCAAGAGCCTGGTTTGACAAATTCACAAAGTTCATAAAGAAGCAAGGATTTAATCAAGCACAAGGTGACCATACTTTATTCATGAAGTTTTCAGGTAAGGGGGAGACTGAAATCTTAATTGTCTATGTAGATGATATTATCCTCACAGGAAATTATCACACAGAGACTAAAAGATTGAAAGACAAACTTGCTCATGAATTTGAGATTAAAGACCTAGGAAATTTAAAAAATTTCCTAGGAATGGAGATAGCTAGATCAAAGAAGGGTATTGTTGTCTCACAAAGGAAATATGTTCTAGATCTTCTACAGGAAACTGAAATAAGTGCCTGCAAACCAGCAGACACTCCAATTGACCCAAGTCAGAAATTGGGAGATATCAAGGAGGGAAATCCAGTTGATATTCACCAATATCAAAGATTGGTAGGAAAATTAATATATCTAGCACACACAAGACCAGATATTGCATTTGCAGTAAGCATGGTGAGTCAGTTTATGCATCATCCTCTCCAAGAACATCTTGATGCTACTTACATGATTCTGAGATACCTGAAGAGCTGTCCAGGGAAAGGATTGTTTTTCAAAAAGGGAAACAATAGGACAATTGAAGCTTTTACTGATGAAGATTATGCTGGCTCAATATCTAATAGGAGATCTACTTCTGGATATTGCACCTATGTATGGGGAATTCTAGTAACCTGGAGAAGTAAGAAACAAAATGTGGTTGCTAGAAGTAGTGCAGAATCAGAAATCAGAGCTATGGCTAATGAAATATGTGAGTTACTCTGGATCAAACGAGTAATCACAGAACTAAAGATGGAGATTGGGCTGCCTATGAAGTTATATTGTGATAATAAAGTTGCTATAAGCATTGCTCATAACCCTGTGCTACATGATAGAACTAAACATATTGAAGTGGACAGACATTTCATTAAGGAGAAGATTGAAGCTAGAATCATTTGCACACCATTTGTATCCACTAAAGATCAAACAACTGATATCTTCACCAAAGGGTTATTTAGACCTATATTTGAGCTACATATAAGCAAGTTGGGAATGTATGATATATATTCACCAACTTGAGGGGGAGTGTAGAAAAATGTTACATTATTAGAAAAATGTTACATTATTTTTCCTGATTAGATTGATGTACATAGTAAGTCGGATAGACTTAGTTAGTTGTAGATAAGCTCATAGTTATCTAGATCCTAATTTTTAAGATCTGTACTAGCTTGTAGTTATCTGTACAAACTGTATTTATACTCTGGCCGTATGGCTCAGTCAATCAAGGAAGTTTAATTCCTAAACTTACACATTGTAGGGGTAATAATCACAGCACAATGATTATTGGCATGCATTTGAGAGAAAAAGAGAACTAGAAGTGATACTAACCTATCAAGTGGCTTCCTTCCGGTCAATAACTCCAACATTACCACGCCAAAACTGTACACATCACTCTTCACAGTGTATACTCCAGATAACGCAAACTCAGGGGCACTGTAACCAAATGAACCAACCATGTGTGTCGCTGTAATCTGTAGGTGTATTAGGGGACACAGATGAGAGTTTTAGACTTTTTTTAGACACTGGCCATACACAAAATGATAGAAAAACATTAAAGCAATTACATAGGATTGTATGCTTGGGTATCAAGCATTCAATGCATAAGCTTGTATTGTATTTCTCTTTCTTTTATTAACTATTTCATTACATATTAGCTTCATAAAAAAGTTTAACTATTAGGAAATTTATAAACTATTTTCATAGCAAAATTTCTTCACTAATAGCATGGAAGATGGCTACATGCCTATACAGCGCCTTGTCTTGCGATTATAGAACATTTGTGTTTATAGAGAAAAGAAAAATAAACAGTGAAGTGAGAATGTAGAGTGTACACTGCATCACTGACCTGGCGTTCTGTGTTCGGTGTCAAAGCAGCCAAACCACAGTCAGACAAGTGAGGATTGAGCTCTTCATCTAGCAAAATGTTCGCTGATTTGAAGTTTCTATGCACAACTGAAGGCAAACACACTTCATGCAAGTACCTGATCAACCCATGTTTCGTTGGTGAACAAAATAAAGTAGTGATTACTTATTAAAATCATACGTACTCCCTGCATGGCTACATAACACTGATGCTTTCATTTTCCGCCTGTCCCTAAACAAACCTTTCTCTTTCCTTATTTAGTAAAAAGAAGTTGTCAATTTATTTCACTACATTTATTAATATCCCAGCCTACCACAACTTATCAAACACCAACATAAGGGCAGGTTTTGAAATTAAACAGAAAATAAGCTCTATAAAAAATGTGCCAAGTTACATAGGGGATGTGTATGAGGGACAGAGTAAATAATTTATAAAAAACTATTATAAAAATGATGCACATGTAACATACTCTAGAGCTCGAGCAGTGCCAAGTGCTACTCTTACACGTGCACTCCAAGTCAGCAGTTCGCTCCTCTCGTCAGCCAAATGCAGCATATCATGCAAGCTACCTTTTCCAATATAATCATAAACAAGAAGACGCTGTCCATGCTCTGCACAGTACCCCACAAGCGGGACAATATTGGGATGTCTCAGCCTTGACATGCTCGAAACGGCTTCTAGAAAATTGTCTTCCTCTTGCAGTGATAATGCTGCACTGTTTATCTTTTTTATGGCCAGTGTCTAACAAAACAAATTATCCCCCAAACATAGAAATTTACACAAATTAGTTACTTATTGTTCAAACTTCAGACTCACTAGTTAATGTTAACTTGGGCTTAATTCACTGTCTCACATGAAAAGAATCCTTGAGAGACAAACAAAAACCGTTCAATTAAATTTTTAATCAAATTCAATGATGTATGTTGAATCGGGCCCAACTCAGCAAAAAGGATCCTGAAAAGGTGAAACTTACCTCTCAATTTTATATACTAACTTAAACCTAGTGGACAATCAATGTGGGGTACGCAACACACCCCCTCAGTCCATGGATAACCATAGGGGTGGTCAAGTGGTTCCAAATTGACCCCCAAATACGTTTCTTTTAACCATCGAGTGGACGGAATCTACAACCATCATCACACGAAACTCCATCCTGTGTTAAATTGTACCTAACTTAACCCAAAAGGATCTTCAAGAGCTGAGTTTGACCTCACTCTTACTTCTCCTGTCCCAGAAAAGTCTTGTTTCACCAAAGGAAGCTAGTTTTTCATGTCATTCGTCAATAAGTATCCAAAAAAAGTTTGCAAACATGTTAAATAGGGCACATTTTATCGAATAAAACCATTATCTTTTTTAGTAGTGAATACAATATCATGACTTTTACCTGTTGTACTTTGTTAAAATTAAAATGTAGTACCTGGACCCAGTGGCGTATCCAGGGTGGGGGCAGGGGGGCAGATGCCCCCTCTCAACCCCCATGTATATATATATATTTAAAAATTTAATTAGACATATATTTGTGTGCTGAATTTACGTATCTTATACAATAATTGCACTGTATGTAACTAAAGTACAATGTACATCAATGGAAGAGGAGCGGCATGCATTTGTTGTTTTCTGTGAGGTTGGGGGATCGATTCCTGCCTCCACAACTTGCATTCTTCCTTTTTTTTAAGTTTTATAATCAAATTTAAAGTGACTTAATGTACATATACATTTTTAGAGTTTAACTATAGTTTATTAAATTTTACACTTAATATAAATTTGTTTCTAGATATAATTCTGCATTCACAATTTACATTAATTCTAAATACATACATTATTTGTGCCTTATTCAATTATTTATTTATTAACATAACATCAAAAAATTAAAAAAATTGTGACAAATTTATTTCGCACATAGTTAAATTTGTCAAGTATGATTTTATGTTTTTTAGCTGACGGATTTAATTTTATTCCTCTCCTTTTTCTTTTATCCTCTCCTTTTTCTTTTATCATCTCCTTTTTCTTTTATTGTTTATCTTCTTTATCTTTTTATATTCTTATGTTACTTTTATCTTCTAGCTTCTTTATACTCTTTTATTTTTTGTCTTTTATCTTTCTTATACTCTTGTGTTATTGTTATCTTATATTTATTTACCTTTATTTTATTCGTTATCTTACTTTTGTTCTTCCCTTTCTTGTTCGTCTTCTCTGTTTGGCATCGATATCATAGATCGATTCATGTTAGCCGACCCCAATTCTTTTGGGATTAAGGCTTGGATGTTGTTGTTGTTGTTGTATTTAATTTTATTTATGATGATTTTTATACTGTTTTTCTTAGTGCCTTTTGCTGCTTGTGACATTCGTTATGAGTAAGATCATAAATAGTGTGAACTCGCCCCCACTCACAACAATTTCTGTATACGCCACTGCCTGGACCTAACGAAACTGGTTTTGAAACGGAATACATACTACACTCACCTAACTCAAGCCTAATGGACAAGAATTGTGGAACACACTCATGATTTAGATCTTATTATAAACAATGGTTCCACACCAATTATCAACTCATGAAAACTGTGATTCACAATGATTTTCCAATGAAATCCGAATGTTAGGGCAATAGAAATCTACCTTTCCATGAGGAAATTCTGCTCTATAGACACGCCCAAGAGAGCCCTCACCAACAAGATTTTCTTGACTAAAACTGTTCGTAGCAGATTGAAGTGCTGCGACAGTGTAAGGAGAAGCAATAAAAGGGGATCTTCTTAGAGATCCATTCTTCCCTTGCATCTTTTCAATCATGGATTTCTCTGTTGATGGGAGCTTCAAGTCTACTATTCTAGAAGTTGACCTTTCTCTTACATCTAGCAACTCTGTATTCAATGAATTGAAGATGAATGAGAAATGGACTGCTTTCTTGCCTATATGATATGAACATTAAAATTTCAGATATTTTATTTGGTGCTTTTGTTTGTCTTTTATCGATGTAGGGCCCAAAAATATGTTAATTATCAATCCTGAAAAATGAGATTATTAATCTAGAGCTGTTCTTGAAACTATCAATTTATGGCTAAAAACTCATGAGTTATGAACCATTTTAATTTTTAATTAATTTTATGTTGATTTTCAAAGAAAATTCCTTCATGGATTATATATTAAATAAAATGGAAATGTCCCTTAATAGGAGTAAAAACAATATCATTGGCAAACATCACGCACCATGGTATATCTTCTAAAATTGACTTTGTGAGTTTATCTACAGTCATGAATGAACTCATGAAGTCAATTCAAGAAGATATACCATGATGCATATTGTTTCCAATGATATTATGTTGGAAGTATGTTGACAAACCGTGGAGAGCTAGCGCTTCGAACTCAGCCCAAGCAAGACTGTGTATATCTAGTGCAAGTTTAGTGGGGTAAGAACAATGGTAATTGAGGGATTACCCTGGATGATGAGGAGATGGTGGTCGGTGATATGTTCCATTACCTAGGCACTATATTTCAAAAGGACGGTGAATTAGATCGAGATGTATTCCATAGAATCAAAATAAGGTGGATGAAAGGGAGAGTGCATAAGGATTCTTATGCGATTGAGGTATGCCAACTAACCGAAGGGTAAGTTTTATTGGACAACAATTAGGCTTGCATCATTGTAAAGCGTAGAGTTTTGAACTGTGAAACAGTGTCACATTCAAAAGATGAATGTGATTGAGATGCGCACGTTGCATTAATGTGTGGACATACTAGAAAAGACTGCTTGAGGAATATGGCAATCAGACAAAAAGTGGGAGTAACACCTATTGAAGATCAATGCGAGAGCTCGACTGCGGTGATTCGGTCATGTGTATAGAGGACCGAATGATGAACCTATTAGACAAATTGAGGGGTGGGGGAGAAAAGGAAGGTAGGAGGGGGGACGACCTAGACAAACATGAACAAGAGTGATGAAGAATGATATGGTACTTTTTGGGTTAACTGAGAGTTCGACTTTTGAGAGAGCGAAGTGGAGGGAGAATAATACATGTGGAGGATTGATCTGACTTTGTTTGTCTCCTATTTATTATTTATCATAATCAAATTCATCATCATCATTATATCATCATCATTATTATTATTACTACTACCTCCATCCCACTAATATTAGGGCATAAGGAGGTGGTGTGGTTATTAAAAAAAGTGGGTTTATGTGATTTATATTGAATTGATAAAGTTAGAATAAAGTAAGAATGATTTAGAACCACACAAATTTTACCAAATTTGGTATGAGAAAATCTTAGTGGGATGGACCGAAAAGGAAAGATGGACAATCTTAGGGGATAGAGGGAGTATTACTTATTAGTTAAACTCTAACGTCATATGTTGATTCATGTTAGCCGACCCCAATCTCTTTTTGGATTTAGGTTTGGATGTTGATGTTGTTGAGAAGTAAGAACAACGTGAAATTTGAAAACAAAAGTACTATGTTTATTTTTATTTCACTAAATATGAGGAAATTATTATCATGATTGGAAAACATTGTCAATTATGTTATTAATATTGCCATATTCTATGAAAATATAAAAAAAATCTAATAAATATTATTTAAAGGGACTCAAAATACATCATTTTTAAATCTTGGACTGTGAGTTGCAATCATTTGGATCTGATACTTTTAAAGTTCAAGTAAGACCCTCACAAAACTCCTTTTTGTGCAGCTTTGAGAAAGTGAGAGAGAGAACCTTTATCTGCATTGAGATGAGGACTTTCAACGGATGACCTTGCTGCAATTTCCTTCTTCCGGAACCTCTGGAGGAAAAATACAATCAGAAGAATAGCCAAGAGAACTAAAAATAAAGATCCCAGAACTATGCCGATGATAGCTCCAACTGAAATTCCACCATTTTTCTTTTCCTTGTTTGGATTGCTGGATAGGTTGTCATCAGAACTTGGAGTTTCATGAGGTCCTGGTGGAGTGTAGTTTTTTCTGTGGGGACTACTTGCAGAAGGGGGAGTAAATGGTGGCGGAGGAGGAACATGACCATTGGCAAATGAATTCCCATCATATCTATTTCACAGTTGGAGTGCCATCAAATACAAGAGTTAAAAAACAATTCAAATGTTATAAGAAAATATATAAGGCCTGCTTGGTAGCATTAATTGGATTTTTATTCCGCTTATCAGCAGAATAAGTTAAGTAGCCTATGACTTACTTATTTGACTGAAACCAATTTTGCCAAACACTTTTCCTTTTAGGAAAATCGGCACATTCTGTCATTTCAGCCATTACCAAACGGGGCCTAAGTATGGGTTTTGGTCAGTGTAATTCTTACATGAACTTGGGGATAGAAATGAGCTCATTTGGTATCCATCCACTGAAACTATTGTTTGCTACATTCCTGTAGAGAATTGAGCAATTCCAATAATGTTTGCAATCTTTCTTTTTAACAAATACCCCCCCCCCCCCCCCCCCATTATAAGAATCTAATTTGGCCTTGAGGCAAACCAAGAAAGTGATTAAAAAATTGGAATAATCTTAACATTCATAACATTCCCTTAAACATTTGTATAGGTAATATATGTTTCAAAGTTTTTCAAGGGAGAATGACATTTGTGGAAGAAGAAGGAAATTAAATAGGTATTGATAATACATAGTTACTTATGGTTAGGTCTTTAAAACCACCCTAATACATCTCCTAAATTGGGCCAGGAGTACTACACACACACATATGTATATGTAACTAAATGTGTAATATGTACGTATGTGTGTAAACTATAAAAAATAATTTCTATCACTTTAATTGATTTTAACAAGTTACATTCAATTATTTGAATTAACACAAATTTACTATCATTTTATGGGAAATATATGTTTCATAGTTTTCACGAGACAATGATGATTGCAGAAGAAAAGTCAAATAGGTATTGGTAATACAAAATTACTTACAGTTACGACCACCCTAATATGTCTCATAAATTGGCCGAAGGGAGTATATGTGTGGAGTGTGGGTGTAGTGGTGTACATGAGTTATTAAAAAACATAAGATTTATGACTAGCAAAATAATTTCTATAATCTATTTATTTTACAATTTACTCAAATATTTAAATTAATACAAGATTGGTTTATCTTTCCATCATTTGCAATGGAGCCAAAGATTCATTATTTTTTGGCTTGAAATTATGATAGAATAAAGCAAAATGGCTCACTAAATTGTCTGCGCTTCTTTGTTATGAAGCAGGCAGTCAGTCCATGCAATTTTGGACGCGATTTTCGCTATGGGTCATCCGGAAACAGTCTCTCTGTGCTTTAGTATAGGGGTAAGACTGCGTACATCCAACCCCCCCTACCCCACCGTAGGTGGGAGCCTTTGCGGCACTGGGGTAAATGAAAATGATGAAAATGATGAAGATTGGTTTATCATTTGAGGCAAATCTGGACTTGGAGGAAGATATTAATGGTCAATAATTAGCTGGAGTAAAAAACTGGGTGCATTAAAATTGTCAAGGGCCAATCTGAGCTAGAGGCAAACATTAAGGGCAGATTTGTTCATTTTCCATTTTATGTTAGATTTGCCCTAGTAGTCACACACAACCTTTCAAAAACTTAAAGTAGGAGTCAAAACTTACAAATCGGTCAAAGGTAAATCAACCAAAATGTTGAGAGTACCAGTCAGATGGTTGTTCTGCATGCGACTGCCAATAGGGGCAGAAACATCATGACTCATGAGTTAGCCAAAGGAACAGAGAAGACAATCTTGATAAAAGCAAACTCATTAGACTCACAATGTTGAAAGATTTGACAACAAACCCAAAGAAGGTGGAAGATCGCCGCTGAAGTTGTTTGCTGAAAGATCCCTAAGGATAAGAGTGTTACATGAAAATCGGATCTCAAGATATAGGTGCATGAATTCATGCACTATTATGATTTTCTTTGAAATCTTACACTATGTTTAGAATGAACTAAAATATATAGGGAGAGGAAAAGAAGTATGGAAACATTTAATTATGACTATTTTACCCTTTTGGATTTGGATGGAAAATAAAGAGAGATAAGTAACTTATTTTTTCTTTTCAACCCAATCTCTCCAATTTGCATAGAAAATGTGACGGCATTCATATAACATGTACTTTATTGTGCATTTATATTTTAGCTTTAAAGTTCATTTATTAAAAAATTGGTCCAAAGTCCAAACTCAATAAATCAATTTTATATATTTGTTCAAACTCATTGTGTTTGATTGTTACTTAGAAATAGAGGCAAAAGATATCCAAATATGCAAGAAACAATTCTGATTGTACTTCATACAGGCAAAACCAAACATACAAAAAGTAAAAAACTGTTTTACTCAGCAGTTTCACATTTCTATCACTTTTCAGGTTCCAAAGGTAGTTGAAATGGACCAAAAAAAGGACCATGTTGAAATTTTCAAAATGTGGACAGATTAATGAAGTGTCACATGTTGAAATGCCTTACAGGGTTGAAAGGTCAGAATGGTTTGCAAACACATCTCCAATAGGTTGCGCAAGAGAGTTGCCGCTGAAATTCCTAAATCAGACACGGCATTGCTGATAGGATGATCCATTTGAATAAACTAAAGTAGAAAACACCATATTTTTATAGTATGTATACTGATTCCATTAAGAAAGTAAAAAAGATAACACTCTTACAGATAATGAAGAGAAGTCATGAGTGTGATGGAATAAGGAATAGTTCCACTTAAGTTATTATTCGCAAGATTCCTGATTTAATTATAAAGAAAAGCTAAGAACATAGAAAATGAAGCAACAAAAACATACATAGAAAGGCAAACATAAAATATCTTAATTATTCAACATTACAGTCTTCTGAGATTTGGAGGTAGCTGATATGGGATAAGATCATGAATGTTGTTTCCGCTCATATCCCTAAGAACCGCCAAATGAAAATACCAAGTCAGCTCATAATCAAGAAAATCCAAAAAAAAAAAAACAACCTAAAACAAATAAGCTAAACATACAGTTCTTTCAATGATGTAAGAGAATTGAGCAGGTATCCCAATGTTCCATTCAACCCCAGCCCAGAAATTTCTCTGTGCTCCACCAAAAAACCATCAATTCATCAATACACTTAGAAATGACTAAACATGTAAGGCCCCGTTTGGTATCATGGATCAGCTTATTCTGTTTATCCTGCTTTATGTTAGAATAGTCCGAATAAGAACCCTTTCACTCACTTACTTTGCTGGAAGCGTTTTTACCAAAGGCTTATCATTTCCGAAAAAAAATCAGCAGAGTTTAGCCCTTTGACCCTTTCAGCCAAATAACATAGACCAAATGCGGATTAAATGAAGGAAAGTTCTTACATTGAGACCACAGAAGAGTCTACACAAATGACTCCTTTCCATGATTCATCACAAGGATCACCTTCCTTTGCTTTCCAACCAATCAGTTGTGAAGGGCTGTTCAGTGAAGTGTACAACACTTGAAGTCCTTGCACTGCGAAGTATAACTCAACCAATGCATCAATGTTGTAAGAAACCATATGCGCCATACTGGGGGATCTAGGGCTTGGGGTTAGGTGGGCCTGGAAAAACTTAGGCACTAAATGAGAGCATAGCGTCTGGGTGGGGAATAATTGGACACAATTACACATAATTAGAAACTCATAATTATACGGAGTAAAGGTTATGCTTTTATTTATAGTAAAGTTTTAATCTTTAACTACCATTGACTAAAAATCCATAAAAAGCAAGCGAAACACATACCCTGTGAGAAAACAATGCTTCCAAATTTGAACAATAATAATTTATGGCTTAAACTTGAGCATGCATAACGCATTACTAAATTCAGATATTCACTGATCACACAGTCCTACCTTTTTCAATGCTTCAAAGAAAATTCCGCATTACCCAAAACTGCAATTCAAGAAATGGAGTCATTCAAGAACAAAAGATAAAACTTACAGTCCACGGGATCAGTAGTAGCTTCTAAGAAACACAATCTCGAAACCGAAACTGCGATCACTATAACAAGCTCGGGGATCGAGAAAAATATCATCTTCTTCTTTCTTTTCCTCTCAATCTTTCTACGGATTCATTTAAACGGAGGAATAGGCATTGAAAAGCATAGTGTAAGGACTGAGATTGCAAGAATGATTGCACCGCAGAGCCTTTAATCCGCAGGACAGTTTTGGACTCTTGAAGATTCCAAATTTCCAATATTCAGAGTGAGAGATACTTAATGCCTAATGATGCAATGCAGGTTGAGATGTACGGGTGTTGGAGTTGAAATTTTACTACAAGCATTAAGTTGAATACTGTCGGCGGTCACAGTGTGTTATCAAACTGAAGGGCTTTTTGCACGTAGTATATAGAACAATGATTTTAGGTGTAAGCTTTCGGATATATACCCTATTTATTTGTTCTTAGCGCACACAAAAAACAAAAAGTGCAAATACAATGATAAATTTTTTGTGTGAAAATCATGGTGTACTTTTTTGCAAATTTGTGAGGGTGTTGCACGGAAAGAGGTGAGTGTACACACATACGTAGTAAAATGTATGAGCATTTATAGACATCTAATATCAAGGTTAAGTAGTCTATATTCACAAATAGAAATGTTATTACACACAGGCAACTTATGGTTTTGTAACATACATTGGTTCTCATGCACTCACTCTGACATTTCTCAAAAAAAAGTACGTCAATCAATGTGATTTACACGCAAACAAATGTATGTGTACACATACATTAGTTGTCTCATGTCTGTGTGTAACACTTTTGTTTGTGTGTTCATACAACTTAACCTAATATTATTTGTCTGTACAAACAAAAAGTGTTTGTACTCATACATTTTTTGTCTGTGTAAACCGACATTGGTTTCCGTTCAACCACTCTTATAAATTCGCAAAAAAGGTACGTCATGATTTTCTCGCACAGACAAATTTTATCGATAAGTGTCTGCATTTGTACTCTTTAGTCTATATGAAGGGCAAATAAATAAGGTGTAACTCAGGATGTACACCAAGCATTATTGATATGTGAAAGTACACACAAAATTTTCTAAAAAAATGCACAAGTTTTATTATAATAACATTTTGATTTTTGCAAGATTTTTGTAAGATTCCTGTAAGGATGTTTGTATCTCAACTTTCAAGCGTAAATGTTTTATGTACACAAAAATGGAGGTTTGGCTCTTTCCAATTGTATTAATAGAAATTACTCCAAATAGGACTAAAACTATGGCAAAAACTCAAAATAGGATTTACTATGTTTTTCTTTTCAAAATAGGACCAAATTAGTCCTATTGGAAACATACCTATTTTTTCCTTCCATTCTTACCCTTCCTTTAAATATGAGTTAATTAAATGTTTAATTCATAATAAATTCGAACAAAAATAAAAAATTCGTAGAAAAATAATTAAAAAATTTATAAAAAATTTATAAAATAAAAAAATTTAAAAAACAATTTTATTAATTTTTTTATTTTTTAAAAAAATTAATAAAAAATAGTAAAACTCCATAAAAAAAAATTAAAAAAAAATTATGGATGCCTTTCCCACCACATGTACTACCTACCTGCACCACCATCTCCGGGCGGTGAAAAAATGCCATTTTTCTTAAAAACTACCAATTTTTTTCTGAAAATGCCAAAAACACGGCATATTTCTCTTTGATAATGTCAACATTTTCATTGTTTTCTGCCATAAATATGGCATTCGTAATGAACTTGACATTTTTTTCCGGGTGACTGGAGGTGGCGGTGCAGAGGTGGCAGAGGCGGCGGTGAATTTTATTTTATTTTTTTGAGTTTTTTATTTTATTATTTTTTATTTTTTGAAAATAAATAAATAAATTAATTAATTATTATCGAAATATTTTTATTAGTTTTTTAGTATTTTTTACGAATTTTTATTATTTTTATTATTTTATTATGAATTAAAACATTTCAATAGCTAGAAGGGTATATGTGTCCAAGACACACATAATTAGTCCTATGAAAACATAGTTTACTTTTTTGGTCCTATTTGTGCAAAGTGAGTGACTTTTAGTCCTATTTTGATAATTAACCCTTTTATTAACAAATAGAGGTCTAATTTTCAGAGATAAAGTTCGATCGTTACTATTCAATGTGTTGAGTCTAGGGCAACTATGAGTGTGATTTCATTTTTAATACAAGTAGAATTCTAATATATACAAAGGTGATATATCATTTAAGATGTGCTATTTATAGGTCTTCTTCGATTTAGTTTTGACAAATTTTCAATAAGCAGTTTTCATCAATTCGATTATAATTAGTGTAAAGTAAGATGTGAATGACTACAATCAATCACTTCCATTTCAATTATTTAGGGTTGGTTTATGTACGTCTCACTCCATTTCAACATGTTTTAATTGGGTTTAGTTGATTTTGATCCGAACAACCATTTTTTGGTTAAACTTCAAATTGTGAACTGGAGCCCTAATTTAGTCAATCGTTGTTAATTCAAATTATATTGTGAAATAGAACTTTTGTGTAACATATTGTGAACTTGTGGTACACTTATCTTATTATGCAAGCTCAAAATATGCATGGAAGCATTTTTGGAATATCATAGTTTACTTCCACATCATCCAAAAATAGTCCACCAAATGGTTGCACTTCGACCTTCCCAAAAGTCATTCTAGGCCTTTCTGATTTTCAAATTGGGCTTATTGTTTACGTATTTGTTCTATATTTTGAGACATACATTCCACATACAGACATGTAGGTGAACCGTTCTTATGACAAATGAAAAATCGTTATGAATTTGATGAATGTTGCATATCATACTTCCTCCGTCCCTTAAAACTTTGTCAACTTTCCTTTTTTGGATGTCCCATTAACTTTGCCACTTTCCCTTTTAAGTAAAAAAATTGTGATTCCAGTTAATTCTCTTTCCCCTGCACAAATCTCAACCACACAGTTTTTACTTTATTAATCTTCGTGCCGGTCAAACTTGGCAAAGTTTTAAGGGACGAAGGGAGTATTTTATATCTTTTCACATATATTGGCGGTCGATCACTGGACTACATGGCCTACTAAATAGTCCACATACTTAATCGTGTAGGCCTAATTGCATATATAATATTGTTCAATGTCAAATAGAATGGCTATTCGATCGCTGAGCTTTTTCTGACATTTAAAAACATTACATTTGGTTAGGGATGATTCTGACTTTCATATCAAACTATATTTTATACGTAGAACATTATTTGCCATCTTTAAGGGTTTCCCAATGCTATATAAATCATCTTCCCCCTCCTCCTCTCACCCTTTTATGTTTTCAGAAAGATACACTCATGTTGTAAAACTCTTATAGAGAATGTTATTCTCAATTTCCAAATGATGATTACTTGTTACAATGAAATGCAAACAAGTCAACTATGTTGACTTTGAGCATACAAAGTGTTAGATTTTATGAAATCTAACTACGCAACAATTCATTGGATCTTGTTAGGGTATATACTCAATTGTGGTCATATTACGTTGATCCTGAGATCAGTTATGCGCTATGTCCAACCCCGTAAAGATATTAGTCATATGACTCAACTAGAGTGAACGGAAATAAATTTCAGACCGTCAAGATCACTTAAGATTAACACCGAGTAGAAGATCATTACATAGTCTATCAGACTCTGGTCGTGGGGAGGGATGATCGAAAATATTTTATTGCTCCATCTCGACGAGATCTGAATCTCCATAGGCTCACCTAGCCTAGTTGTACTTAGTACCGTCTAAGCCACATGCCAGAGACACAAACACAATAAACCATGCTAGATTGGACAAAGGCCACCTACTAGAAGACATCATATGTGGTCACGTCATATATGAAAAATGTATTTAAATACTCTTGTCTCTTGTAAAGTCTATAAATAAGCTTCACCTTGTATAATTTAAAGTTCACATTTTAATAACTAAATAACTATTTCAGCTAACACTACGCCAATACTCTAGGTCATTATGGGATTTATACCTATCAAACCTAGGTCATTATGGGATTTCTACCGTTACTCTTCTCTTACTCCTCACTTACTCTCTATTAAATACCGAACACACTAGTTAAACCATTTTAGATCATGTGAAGTGAGTCCAAAACATAAATGTTTGTTGATATTAAATTACACAATTCATTTACTTCTTATTTTCTAAACACAATTTATTGCAAAGATAATAAACTCTAACTTACTTTAACATTAATAAAAATATAATACGCATCATTTATATGACTTAGCAATATAATATTAATAATCTCATACATACTATTGTAATATTAAGAAAACTTCTCGATACTCACGAGCGTCCTTCTTGATAGACAAAAATTGCGATTCAAAAACCAATTCTTCCTTCGATCAATAAGATTCATGTGGTTCACCAAGTCAGAAGTTAATTAAAATGTATTGGTAGATATGTATGTACCTTTTAAACTCTTTATCCACAAATAATTTGATAAAATGTTATACATATTTTTTTTTTATTTTCAAATAATTTTCCTTTGATTTGTCATTCCTTATGCTTGAATGTTTCAATACCTTTTCCTATAGCATTTCAATTATAAAATTAAAATGCTAATTTTAATTGTTTAAAATTAAAATTAGAATGCACTACGTAATAGATTTAAATGTCTTCGTGTATGTAATAATGGAATTTATTTGAATAAAAAATAGCCGAAGAGACCAACATTAGCAGGAAAAAGTTCACCCCACTAAACAAGTGAAAAAAATCTGCCCCTGACTTGAAATCCTAAATTCGTCCTTGCGCTCATATCATAAAGACTGAAGTCTATTTATCAATGAATTTATTTATTGATTAGAATGAACACTGAGATCTGTATCACATATATTATCAAATAAAGATATAGAAAGATGGTAGAGAAAGGCCAACCAGGGGTATACAAAGTGTAGCCGCGGATAACCCCACTCCTTGTTCTTTGTCCATCTTTTATCCACTCAATCGATAATTGTGCAAATAGAATTTGTCCTCAAAAGTAGTTTTTGTTGTTGAACCGCATGGCAAAATGCGGTCTTTGTGTGTTTAAGTTTTGACAGTACTAGGCTTTAAATTTGACAATATTTTATAAGTTTGGCAATAATTACTCATATTTAAGGAATAAAAACACGACAAACCTATTTTCGAATTTTTCAAACGTTTTTACTCCTATTTCGGGAATTTTCCCTAAATATAAACACACACACACACATATGTAGTATTATATCGGAATACATAAGAATAGAGTTTTGGAAAGTGAATAGTTTTTCCTTTAATTTATTGTGTTTCCACATGTCATTTTTTTATACAAAGGATGTTGTTACATGTAGATAATTACTCCAAAGAGTTTTTTAAG